ACGTACGTACGTACGTACGTACTACTACCTACCTACCACACACACACACACACACACACACACACACACACACACACACACACACACACACACACACACACACACACACACACACACACACACACACCTCCTGGCTCGACGCCGGCCAGCACGGCGCGAATGGTGGTGACAATGCGTTGCGCTTGCTCGGTGCTCTGGCAAGCCATGGGCACAATACGGTCAACACGCTTCTTGCCCCTGTGCAGCAGCGCATACACCTCAACCATGGGCTGGCCGCGGCGGTTCGTGCCAGATTGGACGCCATACACGTCATCAAAGCTGAGATAGCCGGCTGCAAGTGTAGATTTGTGGACGAAGTGTGTTTGAGAGTCAGCGCGACTGGCGGTTTGAGTCAAGTGGGCGCTGCGAGGTGCAGCACAGGATGGACCGCTTCAAGCATACACAAGTACAGCAACCAAGCGCCCATTGCACAAAAGCACATATGCACGGTCAGCAGCACATGCATACACTGAACACACGCACACGACACAATGCAAGCAAAAGGTATCTGCGCTCCACACCTTTCGTGGTCCTTCGCGTTTGGGGTACCACGATGAGTTCGTTGGTGGTGATCTTGACGGTCACTGGCTTGTTGTCGTGCTTGACCTACATGAAATAATACGCGAGAGAAAACAACAAGAGAGCAAGAGGGTCAGTGGTTTCATGAGAGTGTCAAACAAAAGGAACGAAACCGTCACCAACAAGCTACACCAGCAACAAGGCACACGGCACATTCACAGTGCGTTGTGGGCGGGGGGAGCAGCATTTATCAAAGCTTATGTTGCTACACTTGTGTGTTACAGTCACACCTCTTCAGTCAAGACGACTTGTCCTTGGTCAGCCATGGTGATAAACTCGGCAGGCGTGATTGGGGTGAACGGCGCTGGAACAGTGGCGACGGACACAGGTGCTGCAAATCCAAGCGTTGCAAACGCAAGCAGGCGGTACCAAACCACCCACAACAACAACAGCATTCACAAGACACGATATCCTCCAACTGCGCTCGGTTTGATCTATGTTGTGGTGGCCTGGTGTGAGATGCGTGATGTGATCCCTCGTGGCAGGCAAGCAGGCAGGCAGGCTCGAGCGGGCTTGCAGTGGCTCGTGGCGGTGTGTTTGTGACCTCACGACAACACAGCAAAACAGCAGCGCGCAAAACGAGGCTTGACGATTGACGTATAATTTCATGCGTTTTTCTTCAATGCCTGGACAGAGGACAGCAGCTTGTTGCTTGTCGCTTGTGTGGTGGTGGGTTGCGTGAGTGTCATGTTTGTGGGGTGCTGTTGAGGGGTGCTGTTGAGGGGTGGTGGGTGGTGGGTGGTTGTCGGCTGTGTGTTTGGTGAGCATGCTTCCTTCTTGTCAACGTTCGTACGTCACTGTGCCATAGAGTTGAGCAAACAGTGGTGTTCAAGCTGCGCACCGCCACTGTGTGACGTGTACAGCTCTGCTCTCACCGGCTGACATGTCTTTCGTGTGTCCGTGGGAAATTTGCGTGGGCAGACCAAGGTTGCAGCGCAGCAGCAGTGACAACTTGAAGAGCAGAGGAGGGGGCTTGCTTGATTCAGACCTTGCCATGGGTTGGTTTTGGGGCAACAGCGGCAGGTATGTTGATGTGTGTGTGTGTGGGTGGGGGTATGGGTGTGGGTGTGTGTGTGTATGTGCGTCTGCGTGTTTGTGCGTGTGTCTGTGTGTGTCTGTGTGTGTGTCTGTGTGTATGTGTGTCTGTGTGTGTGTGTTTGTTCATATGTGTCTGTGTGTGTTCCTGTGTTCGTGTTTGCCCTTCCTCCACTCCCACTCCCACCTCACAGTCTTTGCCACACCTCTGTGACATGTGTGAACCAGACGCCCATACTATGGGTTCGGCAGATACATGGGCCATTTCACCCCGGAGACAGTAGACCTCAAGGTGGGAGAAGAGATTCTGCGTTGGATGCTTCACATGTACACACACACACGTAAACCCACCCGCTCACTCACTCCCTCACTCACCCACCCACCCACTCACTCATACACACTCACTCACTCACTCACTCACGCACTCTCACTCACTCACTCACTCATTCGCACACTCACTCCCCCCCCCCACACACACACACTCACTCACTCACTCACTCACTCACTCACTCACTCATTTGCCCGAGACAGAAAGACCCGTTTTTCTTTGAACCGAGCGAGCACGAGTGGGTGCGGGATGTGGAGGCCAACTGGACGGTGATTCGCGACGAGTTGGAACAGTACTTGAACCGACACAACAACTCGCTCATCCCCTACTTTGGCGACCACCTCATGAGCTCCAAGAAGTGCTGGCGCGCACTGGGCCTCAAGTTCTGGAACATCTACCACCCGGAGATGCCCAAGGTGTTCCCGCGCACCATGGCCATCTTCGAGCGCATCCCGCACATGGTCTCCGTCTCGTTCAGTCAGATCCAGCCCAACTCAGCCATCAAGCCGCACTTTGGCGACACCAACGCCAACTACCGCTGCCACCTTGGCCTCGTTGTGCCCGGCACGCTGCCCGAGTGCGGGTTCAAGGTTGGCACGGAGCAGCGACCGTGGCAGGAGGGCAAGGTGCTCATGTTCTGCGATGCACACTTGCACACGGCGTTCAACTACACGGACAGACCACGCTTCATTGTCAACTTTGATGTGCTCCGCCCGGAGTTTGCCCATATGGAGACGCGTGTGTGCGCGACGGCGCTGGCAGCCATCATCACGCAGAAGGTGTGGCAGTGGCTGCCGTGGGTCAAGAGCTCCCCCATTACCACCCGCATCGTGTACAACCTCCTCACATGGATCATGCTTGTTCCCATTGGGACCGGTGTCGGCGCACACACCGTCTACAAGATCCTCGCCGACGAATAGCGCTGTTGTTGGTGTTGTTGTTTTGTGTGTGTGTGTGTGTGTGTGTGTGTGTGTGTGTGTGTGTGTGTGTGTGTGTGTGTGTGTGTGTGTGTGTTTGTTTGTGTGTTTGTGCATGTGTGTCTGTGTGTCTGTGTGTCTGCCTGCCTGCCTGCCTGCCTGCCTGCCTGTCTGTCTGCGTGTGCATCGACTCTCAATCTCCTCACACTCTCCCGCCTCTCGATTCGCATCCGCAAAGACCGCTGTTTGTATTTGAACTCCTCCTGTTGCATTGTCTCCGCTCGCCCTTCTACCTCCCACACTGCGTAGCAAAGCATAGCGTGCGCTGTTACATTACTGAACCATCCTTATCATCAACGCTCGCAAGAACCACATCGTTGTGTTGAGTGAGCCACTCAACTGCCATCTCACGGCACATTCACAACAACAACAACAACAACAACAACAAAGCGGACAACACCAGCGAAGATGGTGCAGTGGTTGAACATACCTGGGATTCGGGCAGCGTGGAGGGCTGCGCGAGATGCATCGGTCATTGCACCGCACTGCGCTGTGACAGACATTCGCCAGTGCAACTTCGCAGACCTGCGTGCGCGCGGCTATCGCTATGTCATCTTCGACAAGGACAACTGCATTGCGCTCCCATACTCCAACACATTGCACTCCCTCGTCAAGGTGGTTTGTGTGTGTGTGTGTGTGTGTGTGTGTGTGTGTGTGTGTGTGTGTGTGTGTGTGTGTGTGTGTGTGTGTGTCTATCTGTCTGTCTGTCTGTCTGTGGTCTGTGGTCTGTGTCTGTATCTGCCTGTGTCTGTCTCCGTGCGCGCTTCCCTCTCCGTCACTCCTCCGAACCCTGCCACTAAGGCTGTGTTTGCTCCCCGTTGCGCTGCCTGCTTGCAGGATGCGTGGGCAGAGTGCCTCGGAGCCTTTGGCAAGGAGAATGTGGTCATCGTGTCCAACTCCGCTGGCTCCTGCGACGACAAGGGGTTTGCAGAAGCTCAGAGCATCGAGCAAGGGTTCGGTGTACCCGTCCTGCGCCACCCATCCAGCAAGAAGCCGGAATGCATCTCAGACATCCTTCACCACTTTTCCATCACACAAGACGACGCTCACCGCTGCGTTGTCATCGGCGATCGCGTACGTTGTGTGTGTGTCTGTCTGTCTGTCTGGGTCGACGTCTGTGTGTCTGTCTGTCTGTCTGTCTGTCTGTCTGTCTGTCTGTCTGTCTGTTTGTTTGCGGTTGGAGCCGTACACCTCTTCGCACCTTATCATCAACGTGCATCTACACCCTCTCTTCACGTTGACAGTTGCTGACGGACGTGTACATGGGCAAGCGGCTTGGTGGCCTCACGATCCACACGCAGCCATTCACTGAACAGGGCGACGCTACCACCGCCATCGTGGTACGCTTGCCTATCTGTGTGTGTGTGTGTGTGTGTGTGTGTGTGTGTGTGTGTGTGTGTGTGTGTGTGTGTGTGTGTTCGGCGGCTGCTTGCACCGTTTCCGCTCACTCCCTCCTTCTGCTACTCCACCACCACACCCCCCAATAGGTGCGTCGGTTTGAGAACTGGCTGCTGCGAACGGTGGCCAAACCTCTGGGCTTCCCACCAGACCCACAATAGCGCTCTGTGTCTCTGTGTGTGTGTGTGTGTGTGTGTGTGTGTGTACGTGTCTGTGTGTGTGTGTTTGTGCGTGTGTGTGTGTGTTTGTGCGTGTGTGCGTGTCTGTACGTGTGTGTGTGTGTGCGTGTGTGTGCGTGTGTGTCTGTATCTGTATGTGTATTGATCCAGCTGTAAGTGCTTCAACACAATCCTCATCTCGTCACGTCTGCAAAGGCATTCGGACGTTGTCTGTATTGTGTTCACGTGCACCACACGTGACCATCGTGCAATAAGATCATCAAGCAAGCGCGCACACGCGCAAACAGGCCAGCAAGAACGGTTGATGCTGTGAAGACACAACAACAACTGAGACGACAACAACAAACACCACCAACAACAACAACCACATCACTCCATGTATGCATGAGAGCCCACTGAGAAGCAAAAGGAGAAGCCCAAATACAAAGAAGAAAGGTCAGTCAGGTCGGACAAGACGAAGCAACGCTCCAGACAGACAGACGGGCGCAGTCTGGAATCGGTGATCAACGCATGCGTTATCCTTCACTATCGCATACAATCCCTCTCAAACCAACCAACACCAACACCAACACACACACACACACTTCTCACTCAACCACACTCAACCACGGTCAAAACAGCAACGCGATTGGCTTCTTCCCGCCTTGTTGGTCATCGTCACTTGCCCCGCGTGCCCCTGCTGCTGCCTGCGGCTGTGGCCGCTTCGCTCTCGGGCGAGCGATGCTTGATGGTGACAGCGGCAGCGTTGCGTGGTACTCCACAGGTTCAGACACAAGCAGCGAGGCAGCCGTCGCTTTTGGCTTTGCAGGCTGCTGCAGCTGGGCCTGTGGCTGTGATGGGTGATGGTGGTGGCGATGTTGCTGCTGTTGTTGCTGGTGCTGTGCGCGTGTGTCAACAGCCGGTGCATGCTGCCGAGCGCGTGTTGTGTGATGCTGTTGTCGTCCGGCGGCAGACAGGAACTGCTGCGGGTGGGCCTGATGAGCACCACCACCACCAACACCGACACCAACACCAGCACCAGCATGGGCTGGCAGTGTTGAAGCTTGCAGCGCTGGTGGTGGCCCAAGCAGGGACGGGTGCGGCTGCTGCTGCGGCGGCACAATCCACTGCGCCTTACGATAGTGGTACTTGGGCACACCGTCGTGGGGGCCTGGCGCGATGTAGCTCACGCTTGCTGTTGTCTCGTGCGGGGCTTGGAACGACACGTGCGGTTGTATGTGCGGCTGCGACGCAGAGTGCTGCAACACAGCCATGGGCGCTACGTGATGTTGACCAACAGCAGGTGCGGGTGCTGGTGCTGGTACAGAGGCCGTTGCAGTAGTGCCTGGCACGTGCGTGTGTCGTGGGTGGAGGTGTGCCGGTGCTGATCGCTGACGCGCAACGTGCGCATGCGGGCCGCGCGCTCGGCCCGTCACGTGCGTGTGTGTGTTTGCACGTGGATGCGAGAGAGCGGATGCTTGCTGCTGCTGCTGCTGCTGCTGCTGCTCAATGCCAGCGTGCGATGTGTTGGGAGAATACGGGAGCCACTGCGACGCCAGTGACTGCACCACATACGACGACGACGACGAGAGTGTGTCGTTCTCATACAGCGGTTCGTGCTGGCCTGCGATGGGCTGGCGCGGTCCGCCCCACGACATCCACCGGCTCCTGCTCCCGTCGAAGCTGCCGCCCACAGCACTGCTGTTGCCAGTCGTGTTGATGGTCCAGTTGTTGCCTGCAGGCACGGACGAGCTCAGCGGCGAAATCGCCGCCGCATGAGGCACAAACGCGGGTGCGCCACGAGGCCTCAACGACAGAGTGTCGGCTCCTGTGCCATAATAGTCATAGTCACCGTTATGGTTGCTATTTGCGTTATTGCTGATGGGGGCGGCACGGGCGTGCTGCACTGGCTCGTGTGCTCTGGTGTCATGATGTCTCTCTGGTGATAGGCCCAAGATGTCCTGTGCCCACTCATCACGCGACACCAGCACCTGCGGTGTCTTCTTCACGGCCTGTGCTGACCGCTGCTGCTGTGGCTGCTGCTGCTGTGGCTGCTGCTGTGCGGCGGCGCTGGCGATGCGGCTGTTGTTCACGGGATCGCGAATCACTGCGCGCGCGAATCGCGGTCGCCTTGCCGCCGCCGCCGCAGTTGTTGTTGTTGTTGGTGCTGGTGCTGGTGCTGGTGTTCGTACTGATGGTGCAGTCACATCGTCGTCTTGGACAGCCTCCACGCAGCTGCTGTTGTGGTGGCGAGGAGACGGCTTCAGCACTGCATCGCTGGCATCGCGCATGGGTGTGCGCTTGGGCTGCGTGGTGTTGAACGAGCGGGCAGCAGCCGCTGCGACCGGCACTGCGGTAGGCCGTGTCTCGGCTACCACGCCGTCGTCGCCCGTGCTATCAACAAAGACATCACCAGCAGCGTCAGCATCATCATCATCATCATCATCATCACTCTCCATTGCGGGCACGTCTGGTTGCGCGCTCCTGTCAACGATGACATGCCCGTCGCCACTATCACCGTCGTCGCTCGCGTGGTCCGGTGTGTCGGCAACAACAGGCGACGCCACAACAACGCGCTGTGCTGCCGTCGTGCCGGTGGCAGCCGCAATGGACGGTGCAGCCAGGGATGATGCGGGTGCGAGAGAGGAGACACCATCGCCACTTCTGCTTGTGGGCGTGGTCACGGCGACGGGTGCGCTCTCAACTTCAAACACGCTTGAGTCTGTTGTCTCGTTCTTCTCGTCGGTAGCACGGGCGGGCGACACGGTGTCGCCGTCAGCAGCGAGAAGCGGCGCTACCCGCCGTGGACTCACACACGCGCCCTCGCTCTCAACCACAACTGCATCAGCTGCGCCGTTGCTGGCAACGCTGCTGTCGTTGCCGTCGTGTTCCGGGTAGATGGACGCGCCGGCACCCGTCGCCGTCGGCTGCACGTCCACACCTTCAGCGTGGCCTTCGACAACTGCGACGCTCGCCTGAGCCTCTTCTTCCTCCTCGTTCTCCTGCGATTGGAGTTGGGGCTGATGCTGCTGCTGAGGGTGGTCGTCACCATTATCGCCCTCAGGAGCAGTGGCAGCAGTGGCAGCAGTGGCAGCAGTGGCAGCGAGACTATCATCATCGTCACCACCATCGACATCGCCATCACCACCATCACAGTCGTTGTCGTCATCAGCAGCGGCGGCAGATGAAGCCGCGCTGACCGTATCATCAACACCATCGTGTTCGTCGTCCTTGTGCTCATCGCCATCGCCATCTCCAGCCAGCGGTGATTTGCCGACCGCTGCAGCGTGGTCGCCCCCACCATGTTGCTGCTCCTCTTGCTCCTCTTGCGTGCTTGCATGCATGGAAAGCGGACGCGAAACGGCTGGAGACTCCGGTGCACTGGATGGCGCTTCCACAGGCATGGTGGATGCAAAGTCCACAAACACGAGCTCGTCCGCCAGTGTCAGGCCATCCTCAGAGCCACCATCACCATCGGTCTCATCGCCATCATCGTTGTTGCGCAGCTGTGCGCGTCTCAGCTCCTCCTCCTCATCCAGCTGCGCCAACAACAGCCGCTCGCGTTGCGCTGCGCGCATGGCGGCTGCGGCCTCCTGTTTCTTGATGAGCGAGTTGGCAAGCTCAACCTCCCACGCATCGTCGTGTATCGACATGGACAGGTCCTGCCACCCCGTGCGAGACTGCGGGCGCGATGACGGCGTGTGTGCTGTGCCGTTGGCATCATTACCATCGCTGTCGGTGTTGGCGCTGGTGTTGGTGTTGTGGTTGTGGTCGTTGTCGTTGTCGTGTACAGCCGCGGCCGCTGCTGGTGTGCTGTCGTCGTGATAGGCTGTCTCCGCCGCCACATCGTCGTGCATTTCAACGTCCAGGACATCGGCTTCATCATCAGCAGGCATGGCTGGTTGCAAACCATTCTCATCAGCACCGTCAGCACCGTCATCATCATCAACGTCACCAGGGACCATCACCTGCGTTTCCTCCACAGCGCCAACAGCGGGCGCGGGTTCGAGGATCACATCGCCCTCCACCGCTGCCAACAGCGCCGCAACTTCCGCACCATCACCATGGCTGTCATCATTGTTATCATGGCTATCATCGTCGTTGCCATCATGGGCCTCGTCGACAATCCTTGGTGTTGTTGTCGCTGGGGTTGTGGCAGCATCAGCGTCGGCATCGACCTTCATCTCCTCCACCACCTCCGTGACCAGCTCCTCCACAAGCGCAGAGATGTCGAGGTTGAGGTTGAAGCGCACGTTGTACTTCGTCTCCACGATGGGCGGCGGCTTCACCACTACTGCGCAGTTGTTGCAGGTGCAGGTGCAGTTGTGGGCGTGAGTCGCATGTGTGTGTATATGTGTGTTTGTTTGTGTGTGTGTGTGTGTGTTTGTTTGTGCGTCTGTGTGTGTGTTTGTTTGTGCGTGTGTGTGTGTATGTGTGTTTGTGTGTGTATGTGCGTCTCTGTGTGTGTATGTGTGTATGTGTGTTTGTGTGTGTACGACGGTCTGCCTCTCTGTATGTTTGTGCGCACGTGTACAAGATGAGGTGACGAAGATGAGATGACGAAGAGCAACAGCAGAGAACAAACCTTCTTCCACTTCTTCCGCTGCGGCCGTTGGTTGTGCTGTCACACCCTCTTCTTCATCGTCTCCCTCTTGCATGTTGTCAATATCGCCGCCATCAGTGGCACCGGGCTCATCGCGCTTCCGTTGAACGGGCACAGCCGTGTCAATGTCGACATCAATCACCACGTCCTTCTCCTCAACAACCACATCCGGTTCGAGCATCACAACACGCCGCTCCTCTGTCATCGGCGCTTGCGTCTCATCCCCACGCGACTTCTGCCCCTCATCCTCTTCCTCTCCCCCGTTGTTCACGTTGCCTTTCCTTTCCTGTTGCATCTTACTCTTCTTCTGCTGCACTGCTGGCGCTGCTCGGCGCGTCTTCTTGCTCACCGTCGACTCCTCTTGTTTCCCCTGCTGCTGCTGCTGCTGCAGCTGCTGCTGCTGCTGCTTGGCTGTGTCGCCTGTCTTGTTTGTGCGCGCTGCCTTGCTCTTCCCCTTCCCGCCCGTGGTCGTCTTCGCTGGCGGTGTTGCAAGCGAGGCCTTGTTACCACGACCACCACGATCACCACGACCACGACCACGACCACCACGATCACGACCACGACCACCACGACCACGACCACGGCTACGGCGAGCACGCTGCTGCTTCTCCTCCATCTCCTCCTTTTTCTTCTTGTTGCGCTTGTGCTTCGCGAGCCAGGCAACGGTGGGCGAGGTGAGCGAATTTCCTGGCCGCGCACCCGCGCCTTTCTTCCTGTTGCCGCCTGCTGACGATGCTGCTGCTGAGGACGATGATGGTGATGATGACGATGAGGGGGAGGATGATGATGGCACGGTAGCCACGGTTGCCTGTCTGCCCAGCGCCGGGCGTTTGCCGGTTGCAGACTGCGCTGATGACGGGCGCGATGGCGTAGCGCTGCGCGTCGGGGACCGCGGGAACGGGCCCTGGGGGATGCTCTGTGATGTGGTGACAGTGGGAATGTAAAAGCGGGCGGGGTGTGTTGTGGTGAAGTGTGTGTGTGAACATGTGGTGGAGGGAGATGTGTGAAATTTTGTGTCAATGTGTGTGCAGACGTGTGAATGTGTGAACAGACGTGTGTGAAAGTATGTGTGAAGGTGTGAACATGTGTGGTGATGATCGTGTGGTGATGTGATCATGTGAGCAACAACGCGCACAAACGGACGCACACAAAAACCCTGTACATGATGCACCCCATTGCTCCTCACCTGCGGGGCGTACGATGGGTTGTTTGGGAGGGTGGCGCCGCGCTTGAGGCGGCGGACCTGATTCGGCTTCATCTTCCGGTACTCGTACTTCAGGCCAGCCGTAAACTCCTGGCATGCGCGGTGTGTACACGTGTGTGTGTGCGTGTGTGTGAGTGTGTGTGTGAGTGTGTGTGTGTGTGTGCGTGTGTGTGAGTGTGTGTGTGTGTGAGTGTGTGTGTGTGTGAGTATGTGTGTGTGTGAGTGTGTGTGTGTGTGAGTGTGTGTGTGTGTGAGTGTGTGTGTGAGTGTGTGTGTGTGTGAGTGTGTGTGTGAGTGTGTGTGTGTGTGTGTGTGTGAGAGAGAGAGAGAAAGGGAAAAACAGAGAAAGGGAGAGACAGAGAGAAAGGGAAAAACAGAGAAAGGGAGAGACAGAGAAGGGGGACAGGCAACTGCCAGCAACATCGCTCGTCTTTGCAGGCGTGAACCGTGTTGGCGGAGAGGACCAACCTTGTAGTCGACAGTGCCGCTGTTGTCGTTGTCCCACGTCTTCACCAGCAGCTGTGAGGCAGAGATTGCAGCGTGCACAGAACGGTACACATCGGTCAGTTGTACACGACATGCAATGAAACCCAGTTGGCGCAAACGAACCTGCACACTCGTTTGCGAGGAGGGGGGACAGCGCAAAACACAATCCGACACACGTACACACACACACAAACACACATGTATGGATGGCTGACCTTGATCTCGTCTGTTGTCATGTGGATGTGTTTTGAGTCCTTGATGGCGCGCATGACTTCTTTCGCTGCGGGAGGGATGACAGGCGAAGTAGGGGCAAGGTAGGGGCAAGGTAAAGGTAGGGGTGAGGAGCAGTGTTGACATGATGACATGTGACGCACCGTAAGTGCATTTCCGCACACACAGACACACACACACACATACATACATACACACACACACACGCACAGACACACACAGAGCCCGTCAGAAGCAGACGTGTGCGACTGACTTGTGAGGAGGCCGTCCCCGTCGCGATCAAAGCGCTGGAAAAACGTGCGCACAGTCAGCTTCTCATTGGCGAGCAGGCTGTTGACTTGGTCGTTCCACTTGCGCGACACAGACTCAGGTGTCAGATCTGCGCAAGATGGGGGGGGGGGTGGTGAGTGGTTGAGAGAAATAGTCAGACAACAGGGTGTGTATGCTTGTGTGCGTATGTGCCCGCGTGTGTGTATATGCTTGTGCTAGTGTGGTGTGGTGTGTGTGTGTGTGTGTGTGCGTGCGTATGTGTGCTTGTGTGCTTGTGTGCGTTTGTATCTGTCCGCCTGTCCCTCTGCCTGTCCCTCTGTCGACTGTGTATCCAGCTGTGGGAACGTGCAAGGTGTATGGGCAGTGTCAGGGCAAACGATGACGAATGACGGACCGTCAACGGTGCGGTTGAGTTTAAAGGCCTTGGTCGCCTTCTCCAGCGCGTGGCGCGCAACCTTCTGCTCAACTGTGGTATCGTCAGCGTCGTGATGATGGGAACAGAACCAAGGGTTGCAACCAGGATGAGGGATGACTTGAAGTGCAAACAACAGCAAATCTTGCACACACACACACACGACACACACACACACAAACACACACACACACAAGCACACACACACGCACACGACAAACACACAAGCACACACTCAAACACACACACACACAAGCACACACACACGCAAACACACAAGCACACACACACGCAAACACACAAGCACACATTCATGCACGCACGCACACACACACGCACACACACACACACAAGCGCAGACACAAGCAGCTAGACTTACATGGTGATTGCGATGTGCGGGCTTTGCGGTATTTCCAAGCGGATTGGAGCATTTTGGACACGCGGCGGCCACTCGGCGTCACTGCCATTGGACACAGGGTAACATGTGACGTGCATGTGTGACACTCGAAGGTGAGGTGTGGCATCACACACGCAGACAAACATATTGGACGCAGGTCTGCGTGACGGATGGTGGCAGGTGCGACTGTGCTCAAGAGCAGCACACGAACGCCATGCATTTCACAGGGCACGGCTGCACAGGCTTGCCTCAAAGGAGAGTCACACGAGAGGCGGGGGGGGAGCAAACAACGACAATGTGAGCGCGAATGCGATCGCTACTGCGATAGCTTACGTTCGGCCTCTGCGTCGCTGGCGCTGTGGATGATGCTGTCAACACTGGCGATGGAGTGTGTGTCGCTGTCACTGTGACCGTCCGAGGACGCGATCGGAAGCGACTGCGACACACGCAGCTGCCGCTGGTCCTTACCACCATCATCGTCGTCGCCGTCGTCATCGTCATCTGTTGTGGGCGGCGCTTCGAATGTGACCATGGTGACGGGAGAGGCATCCTCGTCGATGGAGCCACTGGTGCCGATGGCGTGAGGGTTCTCCAGGGGAACGGCGTCAGGACCAAGTTGGTCAGTGTTGTCGTCTTCCTTGTCGGCGGCTACGATATGGGGCTGGTCACTGCGGTCTTCCGCCTGTTCATCTGCGTGGTGTTCTTGCGTTTGTGGTTGTTGTTGATGTGCATGTTGTTGTTGTTCTTGTGGTGCAGTGGTGTCTTCGTCCGCCGCGGGATGGTTGTCGTTGCTGCTGTCACTCGGGGTGGCTTCTTCCTCGTCGGTGATGGCGGACGCACGCCGCATCTGGCGACGCTCACGCATCGACATGATGGCTGCAGCTGTTGTTGTTGTTGTTGTTTATGCCGCTGTGCCTGTGAATGACCGTGCAAGTGGCCGCTCGTGGTTGGTTCTGGCAGTGTGCTCTGTGTCTGGGATGGTATGTGTGGCAGGGCACAGGGGAGGTGGCGTATCCGTTAGCAAGGCAAAGCTGAAGCAAAGCTGAAGCAAGCAAGCGACAGGGCTACAGGTAGCTTGTCGCAGTCCTTCAACGAATGCTCCTCTCGGTCGCTTTCACGCACAACAACAATGGTAGTGCCAGGCACGACGACGATATTGGGGGGGATGTGTGTGCGCGCACCACCAACAAACGAAATTGCTGAGTCAGCACAAATCAAAAAGCAAGAAAAACGACAGCAGCGACAGCAGCGACAGCGACAACTGGCAACGCGACACACAAGAAGCAAGCAAGAGAGAGAACGATGTGAGTGCTTGTGCTGCTGGTGCTGGTGCTGCTGGTGGCAATGGCGATGCTGATGTTCGTGTCATGTCACAACATTGTGTGTGTGTGTGTGTGTGTGTGTTTGGTTGTCATTTCGCCGTTCCATATATCGTTTGCTGTGCTGTTTGTTTGTCTGCGGTTCTTGTTTGATTTGACGAGTTGGCGTGTGCCACCATGAGGTCGGCCATGCGTATGTTTATGTGGGTGTGTGTGTGTGTGTGTGTGTGTGTGTGTGTGTGGTATCCTTGTATCCTCGTTGGATTGTCGTTGGTTGTGGTTGATCCGTCCTTTGATCATCGTTTGGTCATCGCAGCTGCTTGTGTTTTCCCTTCTCATGTCATGCCTCATCTGCTCTCTGTCTGCAGGGCGGAGGAAGCACGCAGCGACTATCAGCTGGCGGACACCCAGCGCCAAGTCGATGAGGTGTTGCTGTTGTTCTTGTTGTTCTTGTTGTTCTTGTTGTTCTTGTTGTTCTTGTTGTTCTTGTTGTTGTTCTTGTTGTTCTTGTTGTTCTTGTTGTTCTTGTTGTTCTTGTTGTTCTTGTTCTTGTTCTTGTTCTTGTTCTTGTTCGCGCACGACTTCACCTATGCCTTCTTCGTATTCGCCTCATCCCCCTTCTCCTTCGTGGCCCTCGTTCTGCTGCTTCTACTTCTCCTCCTCCTGCTCTTCCATTTCATCTTCCTTCTACTTCTCGTACTTGCGCTCACGTGTCCCTGCACCCTCATCCGCTGCATGCACGCACACTGTCGCACTCTCTGTGCAGGTCGTTGGGATCATGCGCACAAACATGGAGAAGGTGTTGGAACGTGATGCAAAGCTGACAGACCTCGAGGACAGAACAGGTGCCGTCACATGTCGGCCTGTCCGTTTGTCTGTGTGTTGTGTGTGTGTGTGTGTGTGTGTGTGTGTGTGTGTGTGTGTGTGGTCGTGTGTTGTTGTTGTGTGTGTGTGTGTGTGTGTGTTGTGTGT